TTAATTACAAATATTGCGGGAAAAGAGAACATCAATGCGGAGAAGATCTTGTTTACATCAAAACTGAAACCAAGCCGTTCACACAGAACGCATATTTCGCGGATTTTCTAGAGGGACATCAATCACCGTTGCACTCGCGTCTCGCACAAAAGAGCCGCATGTTTAGAAAGCCATGTAAAATTAATGCAAGTTCAACTTTAGAAAAAACGTATCTCGAGACTTTATGGCGGGTTTTTTCCCCATCTGACTGCAACTCGTGTTTTTAAATGAAAAATGTACTCCGTGTGATTGGTTTTCGGTCCTTTGTATTAAACTATGCATACATCCATGATGCTGTTTTGTTTATAGTTGTTTAAGCAACTTTATTAATTATAATTGGTTTATAAACATTATTTTAAACATTATGCGCTTTTTCACGGATAGTCATGTTATCTTATGCTCGATGCGCCCTCTTATGGCCTTAGAAGAGAAGCCAAAAGCTTTTCTTTACCCTAACTGAAATTATGCATTTTAAATATGGTTTATGGTTTTTCAGCCATTTTGACAGCCCTAGTGACATCGGGTTTTCTTACGGATTTGGAACAACATGAGGGTGAGTAATTAATGACAGAATTTTCATTTTTGGGTGAACTATCCCTTTAATTAAATCTTGTTGTTAATCAAAATTTGTTCATGTGAAAAATGCTGTCCAGGTTTTTGCTTTTGCACTTCCAATCGCTTGCTCCATAGGACAGAATACTGCACAAATGTGTGTGTGCAGAACAGCATGTTTTTTGTTTTAGAATTTTATAAACCTTTCGCTGTTCTTACAAAATAAATCTTATGTAGTTATGTGCAAAAGATCAATGTATGTATACATCTAATATGTGAGCACGTTATAATGTTCATATGAAGGCACATGGACATAATATATACTGTACAGGCCATTTGAAAATTATATATGAAAAAATCCAAGTTGATTTTATTTCTACCAATTTCTCTCTCTTCCTTTCTTGTACATATTGTATTTCATGGTAAAATATTTTTTATTTGAAATTTTTATATATATATTTTTTGTAATATTTCTTTAGTTTAATCATTTCAAAACATTCTCATGATTAAGTCACTATTGATAATTTTGTAATATATTTCAGCACTAATTTGTTTTTTGATAAATTAAATTTAGTTGAGTTTTTGTTCATATTAATGATTTTATAAATCAATTAATTGGTCATCTGTAAAGATATTTCTTTGAAACAGTATAAATTGTTATTTTTTTTTAAGTTTAGATTTATATACAACTGTTTCTGGATTTCAGCAATCATTGAAATTCAAAAGAAAATAAGTTCAGTTGTTGTATTTATTAGTAAAAAGTAAAATTTCATGTTTTTACTTTTATATTTCTGGGTTAGATATTTCCACTTTTAACAGTAAAATTTTCATGCAGTACCAGTACAACAGTTCCATATGGTGCCACTGTATGTCAGGACAATCTAATATATGTGTAATATTATTATAATTTATGATTTAGCATGGCTATGTGATATTTCTGCGTTTATGTTTGTTTCAGGGAGTGCGCAGACAGGGCAGTCTGGCTTTCTCTCTGTCTGGCTGTCTGTTGGCTCATGGTGATCTACGCAACAACAAACTCAATCAGCTGGTTGTCAACCTGTGGAACCTGTGGAACCTGAGTCACAAACGCGGCTTTTGTGACACGCGCACATCGGTTAGTTGTATGCACAATCACATTAGCACTTGGTGGCAAATACAATGCCCTGACCTCTCTCTCCTCCTCTCCAGGTTCGGACTCTGGAGTACATCAAACATCAGGCGCAGCAGGCAGACATGAGCCATCTCTCTGACGTGACGGCACGTCTGTCTCTGCAGTCCAGAGCCTGATGCACTGATGGAGACATTCCAGTGACAGACAGCCAGAAACCCTGAGATGGTTTGACATTCATATATTTCAAGTGTTCTTCAAATGATTACTGAAACTAACCTGTAGTTTCCTATTGGCTCAAACTTCTACAGTCTAGTCCCAAATCTAGCCATGATCTATTAATATTTCTAAATATTATTTGATTGTCTATAATGTCAGTTTGCACTTGTTTTTGTACAGTTTATGTGCCTAACCAGGTATTATGTAATAAAGTGCTTTAAATCATGACATCTTGTGGATTTTGTTCGAGGAGAAAAAATGATTTTCTATGGATCTGAACTGCATGTTATAGGAAAAACGTTCCTGTGATTTGTCTTGATAGAAGCTGCTTAAGCTCCATCAGCTCAATAGGTCTTGCTGTATATATCACAGTGTTATTTTAGTATCAGTGAATATTACAGTTTTTAATATTTTGAATTAAAGGGCTAGTTCTGTCATCATTTACTCACCCTCAAATTGTTCTAAATCTGTATGAGTTTCTTTCTTCCGTTATACATAAAAGCTCAAAAGAAATTTTTTTAATTGTTGGTAACCAAACAGTTTCGGTCCCCCCTGACTTCCATAGTATGGGGGGGGGGTCTGTGGGGACCAGAAACTGTTTGGTTACCCACATTTGTTTTTATTTCTTTTGCGCTCAATAGAAGAACCTGATGTGTCAGAGCACTGCCCTGCTGTAAGATGAATTGTTCACAATTTATAGTCACAATAATAAGTTTTGCTTTTACTGTTGCTAACGAGGCTAAATGGGACTACAGAGGTTACTGGGGATGTTAAAAATCATCACGCCGAACATTCACAGCCTTGTGTTTATAATCACACTTTTGCAAACTATTCTAACTTAAACTTTTGAAAAAAAAAAAAAAAAGTTGAAAGAGTTGGCAAAGCTTGTGGTGGTGATGTTGAGGTCATTTGAGAGTAGCCTAAAGCCCCGTTCACACCCAGAACAATAATTATAAAGATGACTATATTAGCGTCCACTACCCCGATATCGTCAGTTTATTCTAAGCACACACGCGTCTGCCACTTTATATTCTCCAGCTCGTGATGGCAGGATGGATTCTGATTGGGTGTCAATGATTTTATCCTTCATCAGCTGGAAAAAAAAATAGTTCTGGAAGTGATTCCAATGATATCATTTCTCTGTCCCTTTATCGTTAAAGCTGTGGTGTGAACTCTGCTATTCTTTAATATTGAGAATGATTTTTAGAACTATATCTTTATATCGTTATCTTTATAGTTATCGTCCTTGGTGTGAACGGGCCTTAACCTCTTAAGACCCGGCAAAACATTTTAGGAAAAAATTAGTATTTTTTGATGTCATTACATTGTTTAGAGCATTAAAAAATGTAAAAAAAAAAAAAATAATAAAAAATTATATTTCATTCATAAGTTATGCTATGTCCTTGGTAGAGGACATTGGGACTCAATTTCTTTAAAAAATAAAAAGACATGAATGAACATGCATAGGCAAAAACAATTATTATTATTTTTTTTTATCACCAATACATTTTTAGTTTTCAGGATTTTTTTTTTTTTACCAAACTTTGTATAAAGACAATTCTCAACTATGTTATAACAGAATGATTTTATATACCATTTTTCTTCATGCTAAATTTGTGTAAAATGGCCATAAACAGGTTTTATCATTATATATAATGTATCTATAAACTAAATCTCATTTGCATATTAAAGGTGACATATGAAAATCGGACTTTTCCAGGTTTTAAGTGCTATAATCAGGTCCCCGGTGCATCTACCAACCAAGGAAACGTGAAAAAGATTAACCCAGTAACTTTGTTTTGGTAAACCTTTTTCTGCAAGCCTCTGAGAAAACGAGCACGTCTGATTTCACTCCCTTGGTGACATTGCAAAGAGATCTCATTATAATATTACCGCCCCTTAATCTGTACATTTCCACCCAGGCGCCGTCATTGTGTTTTCGCAAGCGACAACGGTGTACCAGCTCTAATGCCATGGCGAAAATTTGAGCAAAACATACTATTTGTTCTGCCTTTGTCTGCACAGACCAGCACAGAACACTATTTAGATCTAAAATAAACATTTCCCAGCAGTTTACCTTCACAGACATAACCGACTGTTTTTGTAACTC